GTGGTGGTGCCAGCGTGACCAAAACATGGCTCTTGGGGGTGCGAGGGCCCCGGCCGCGGTGTGACTCTGCTCCCACGGACGAGCCGGCAACAGTTGAGCTAGCATGAAGCTGCCGCTTCTGGAAATGAGTCCGTTCAGTTTCGTTTCTTGAGGCTTCGCAGTCTTCCAGGTAGCGGGGTCTGAGTCTGCTTCTCAGACACAATGATACTTAAAAACACACCAAGTAGGTGTTGAAGTAAGGTAGTTAAAGCAGCTCCCTCCTCACCTGTAATTGGCCATGACAAAAGCCCTTGCTGAAGTATTCTGCTGAATATGAGGGCAGTGATTATCTCCCACTGGTTTCCACCTTTCACTACATAACTTTTTAAATACTTTTCCTAAATAACACCACAGATGTAAAATTCTGCTGATACTTTGAAAACCATTTCTCCCATGACTGACTGTGACCATCGTTGTTCCAACTCATTATGCACATGGCAATCATTGCCTCGCAGGGTGGCCGTGAACTCAAGTCAAGCTGTGGCCAGATGCAACAGTCCATCTCCCCGCAACAAACGCAGGGCCGATGCCCTAACTAGGATTGTTTTTCTACTGAATCCTCCTCTCTGTCTTCTTCCCTCTTTTTATTTGTCTGCATTTTGTGAATCCTTCTGAAGAAGTGGTTTTGCTGGGATAACACGGAGGTGGTGGCGTGGTTCCTGTCATTGACATCCTGAGGGTGGACGACTTCAACCTGCAGAGCTGTCAAACCACAACTTCATTCATTCCAAACCCTTTTAAGAGTCTAAAGTTGATTTAGCTATGGTTAGCTTTATTTAATGTATTTAAAATGCAGCAACAGAAGTATTCCTATTGTATATGATTTTAATGCTACTGAAAGCAAAACAAGCAGAAAAACAGCTAGCCAAACACTTCCTTTAAAAGCACCAAGAATACGAAAGCGAGATGATTGCAAAACAAAAGTGCAACTAGAGCCAGTGTCTTTGAGAGTGATGATCAGGTGAATGAAGCAGAATGGAAGCACTACAAATGAATGACATCATTTTTTCTCTTTGAAAATAATTGAAGTTTTCTGCGTTCCTTGTCTTTGTTTTCCAAACATAAGACCAGTTTTCCAGTTTGCTTTCTGCTGTGGTTTAAGTAACGTAGAGGCAGCTGCATTCCAGAGTTTCTGACATGCTCAAAAATAATGGTGAGCTGGAGGAGCCCTGGAGGGAGGGGGCAGCTCCTCATTTATGAATGTAGGCGCAGTGGTCATGAAAAGCAGACTTTACTCCCCTGTGAGCCCCAGCTGCTGGTCCCAGTCGCAGAGGCCAACCCTGAATCCGCGCGGGCTGGGAGCCTGCACATGACTACTTTTAGCTCTGTGCCGAGTGCTGCGCGGTCAAAGCAGGGAATCAGACACAGCATTTTTACATTAATAATATCCTCCTTCTAAACGCACTGTATCAAAGTGTGTATGTAATTAATAAGGTGCTAAAGCATAATACCTTTAATGGCATTACAATGCTATCATTATGTTTCTTAAGCAAGCCTTTTATTTTTCGTCAAGGAACACTGCATTTAATTTCACATGCTCTTAATGGTGTAGAGCTCTCCAGAGCTTGCTCTAGGCCTGCCAGTGACCTTAATGGATGCAGGGACAAACCTCTTCACAGAATACCATTTTACAATAGCTTCAGTGTTAAAGCTTAAAAGGTGAGATTTGTATGAATAGAAGCGTTTTACAGTGAAAGCCAACGATCAGAAACTGCAGAGGAAGATACACTCCTCTGAAATCTCAGACAATCTTATTTTAAAATTGCGAAAAAGAAGTGGCCCATGGATGAAAGAGGGCACATCGACGTTAATGAAAGCAATAGATTCTGAACATAAACATTTCAAGAAAAATGGATAATACAAAATCTGACAGAACTGCAAACCAAAATGCTGTTGTCCTTAGCTCAGTTGTCTAGGACAGAAATAAGGACATTTTTTCAGAGACCTTTTGCTCTGAGAGAAAGTACACACATACAAGGGACAATATTATCCTGCAAATCTGCATAGGAAAACAAGTAATTGGCTATGGCCTACTCCTAAACTGACAATCTGATGGGAAGTAATGTTTAAAACACACCCCTCCCTTGTCTCACAGACCCACCTTTTCATATGATGCAAAAGAATTGCGGACAACATATATTTAAAATATTTATTTAAAACTATAAAATGTGTTTCTTAATGTCTGCCAGTGTCAGATGCAAAAGTAGGCATAAGTTCAAGTCCCAGTGTTTGAAACTGTGATTTTTCAAGGCATGTTTTAATACAAGATTGTCACATGATGGTGGAAGCTTTAAAACATCACTTGGAAGTATTGGATTGAAAGCCAGTGTGATCTGCTGAAGGCAAGAATCCCAAGTTCTTCCTGAGCAAAACCAATTTTTTTAGTTTAGTGTGTCTTGAAAAAAAGATTTTTAAAATATATATTAGCAGGATTGTTTGATGAGGAAATAATAAGCTACAGGATTTTTTGCAGTAAGCCTCAGTTGCGTTTTAGTTTTTGGTATGTTATACACAATGGAAATAGCAGTTTCGTGCCCATCTTCAGTGCCAGGTAGTTTATTCTGTGCTCTGATTTTCTAAATAGGGATTCAAGTGTGCCATAAAGACAAAGCAGTACTGATGCTGGTGGGAATTTGCTGGAGAATTGTTCTGGGAGAGCACAAATTAAAAAAAAATGTATATACTGTGTCAGTGTCATATGTCAATAATCTGGGGTTTGTTTGTGAAATTTACTGTTTTAACTCCTGCCAGCTGCAAAACTGTGTTAATGGGAACATGATCCAGCCTGTTTTTATCAAGGTGCAAAAAGTGGACTTCATTACCTGAAACAGAATGAGAATAAACATGTAAATGGCTGAAGAAAATATTTATTTATTCAAAGACATAAGTAAAATCAAAGAAGCATTCTGATTTCCTACTAGTTCTTGTACAAAAGTATACTAACTCTATAGATTGCACAATACACTACATTTTAAATGACTTTTTTTTTTTCAAGTTATAGAAACAAGGAACATTGAGGCATCTAATTGAATTAAATCTGCTGTAGTGTAATGTTTCCTAATGATTTGATGAGATAACTTTGTCACGTTGCAGCCCCCCCCTTCATGCATTATTCCTCTACTAAAATTGCCTAGAATTAAATGTGAAAGCAGAATGTAGGTGAACACCACAATGTCAAACCCCACCCCACCCCATCAAGGCAGATGTTCCATCAGCACTCCTATCGATTTCTGCAGGACTGTGATCAGCTTTGTGCCACCTCTGCGGGAGGTGGGACTACACAATGACACTTCCTGAGGTTCCTTCAGCCGGGAAAATCACACAAGACTGTTCTCCTTGGGATCCACAGCAACAGCGGCTGACATGGCAGCGTTAAAGCAAACAGCTGAAAGAGAAGACTGTAACTTTCACACCAAACAAAGGAGCTCACCTGGGCCTAAAATCAAAGCTCCTCCCTGCTGAGCGGGATCTCCTTGGAAATCAAAAGCCGGGCCAGTCATTGCTCTCCACATACTCCTAATGCTTCCCAGGAACGTGCTTGATTTCACATGAGGGCTCCGGACTAAACAAAATGGCAAAATACTTATTATCTAGAAATACAAAAGTATACAAGGACAGCAACAAAATCGAACAGCTGCTATGAATAGTTTACAGTTTCCTAATTACCAGTGTTTTGACAAAATACAGCCTACCAGAGACGGTCTAGTGGGCAACACCCTTCCTATCTACATTATGACCATACTATTTTATTAGACCATTCTTGTTTTGTTCTGTGTAAGTCCAAAAAAGGTGAGAAAATTATTCTTACCTGATATGTTATTACCTTCACCTCTTTTCATGCCAAGTGTTTTATAAATTTCCCTTTGGGGATCTACATACATTTCGTGTGTATACCCAGTTAAACTGCAAAAGGGCTGCAAAATATATGCATACAAAAAAAGTAATGTTTTTAAGGTTAAGACAGTAATTAGTTAGGATCTACCGACAGTGGAAAAAATACTGACACCCTGCCGCCCCCACCCCCTGATTTGGAAACCTGTCGATTTGTCATGTTAAGGGCCAAACATTTTTAGCCCCAAAGCTTTTACTAAAACAAACCTTCCAGTGAAATCAAGAAAAGATGTTTCCTTAGGAAGCCCCAGAGGTTTTTAAACTGAAAGTTTTAGTTATTTGCTTTATTCATGTATTGCTATTAGAATTGCTTCATGAAAAAGAATACTGCGGTTGCAAATGACCATCTTTTCACCCAGAGTGAAACCCCTCAAGGCAGACCGTTAAGACACAATAGGGGATACAATGTATTTAATCACTCTTTACCTTGATGTGATGGTAAGATGACTGTCCAATAACTATAAGCCTCACATTTGCTTCCTAGAACAGAACATGGGTATTGAAACTGTAAAGAGGAACTTGGTGTTTCTGCATGGCTGCAAAGCATGAGTAGAATCTGGTGTCCTGAGTTAATGATCACAGTGCACTGAGTTAAAATAATTTGAAATTAACTTCATTTACATATTGGCAGCCTGCACCTTTGTCTATCACCCACAGTTAGCAGCTACATTAATTTATTAAGTAAAAAAATATTTTTCAAGATAACTTTTAAGTTACAGATATGTACACTTTAATTTTTCTGTAGCATTGCTAGCATCATCTTTTCAATAATTGCAACCTGCTCTAATTTTGGAAATTCAAAATTTCCACTCAGCTGCAGCTGCATTTAAAGAAGCAGCATGCAAATATTGGTGCACCTACACCTGCGATTTACAAATACCGAACTTGCACCTGCTGCTGTCTTTTGCAGGTGCAACATTAGGCCTGAGTCTAAAATAGTGGCCAAAGCTTAAGTTCATGTAGATGCCAGTAAAACGGATAATAAAACATAATGTTGTTTTAATATTAGGGTATAGTATTTGCCTGTCCCATATAGAATCATTTTGCTTGTTATGAAAAGAAACCCTCCTACAAACAGAATACTCACACTAAGAAAAGCATGGATGGTTTTGATTCTCTATATACATTTATTTGAGCAGCCAAATTAAGAAAACACCACTCAGAGTAACACTGATCAAGCCGTTTAGAAAAATCTGTCCAGAGAAAGGGAGCTGCCAGAGAAATTGCCCCTTTTCGTCCCCAAGTTCCTAGTCCATCTAAGGCTTGCTGTTAGGAAGGAGCCGAGTCTCTGTCATCAGCCATACCGCTGTTGGGAATAAAATATGGCAGAATTTCAACCAGCAGCTTGGAAGAGACAGACTGACCTTCCAGATTTAGCAGGGGATCATTGTCTTTCTCTGGTATCTCCTGCCACCCAACAAATACCCGTCCATAGCAACCCTTGCCCACTCCATTTCTCCTTTCTGTCACTATGTCACTCCTGTTTGTGCAGCTGCCTGGAGAACAGGTCACACAACTGATGCAGCTTACAAATAACCACAGAAAAAGAGACTATTTTTAATCCAGATCAATTTTCTGATTTTGTTCCATGCACAACCATCAGTCAGCTGTACCGGCATAACGGAAAGGGCAGTAGTTAAGTTTGTGGTCAGGAGAAGACAGCTGCCCAGGGCACTACTAATACCAAAAGATATGCCTGTCAGATGTTGTCTAACTGTTCAGAACACAGCAGAAAAAACAGCACCAAGCTAACAGGGCAGGGAGAAATAATGCTGCTGCAGCAGAGCATGTAGGGCAATAAATCCTTTCCTGTGTCTCCCAGGCAGATGCATTATGGCTACCGTAGCAAACAATGAAAATGCTAACTTTCTTCGGAGCCTTTTTTGATTCCTAGAAGCTTTAAGCCTCATGCAAGCCTGCAGCGGGACGGGACACTACAAATCTGTTCGACTACAGCAACCCCATGTAGACATTAAGGGCAGAGTACTTACTTGTAAAAACGCCTTGGGGACTTTAGCCAGGTCTTCTACATACTCCTTACAAGTGTAGCATAAAAAACTCTGCAACATAGCCAGTTGGACGTGTCAGAAACAGACATAATTGCATAGCAATGAAGCATCAGATTCTGAGTTCAGGCATAAACCATTTTGATCAGGAACTGAGAACGAAAGATTTAAAGTTCTTTGCAGTCACCAAATTTGGATTAGGATCCTGGTTTAATCCAAGCCTGAACAAGACACTGGGCTTGGGGCCCTGCTAGTATTTCTATCTCTGGATATTTTAGGAATGCGAGAGCTGGCTTCCCTGCTGGGAAATCAGGGAACACCATACCCGTTTCCCTAAACACACGGTTGAGAAACTATTGCCTTTCAGGTAAATACTGCATCATTTTACCCAAGAACGGCGGTTCTTAAGAGGCAGAACTGATCTGCGTTACGTTTTCCTCCCTCCCTCCCCCAGCCCGGCTTGTCCAACGCCCCCGCTCCCGCTCCCCCGCCCCTTCCGCAGCCCAGCTGGGGCTCCTCGCAAGGCGCCTCTCTGGGCTCCGGGCCGGCGGGCCAACCTTCCCGGGCAACAGCTCCCTCCTCACCCGCACGAACAGCACGATCGCTCTTT